GTTACAGTTAAAGTGTTAGTTACAGTTACGTATACAGTCACATACAAATACAGAGTTACGTATACGTGTACAATTATGTATTAGTATGTGTAAGTGTGTGCGTGTTTTGTGTACAAAAGTGGACAAAGAACACTTAGAGCGAAATGAAGACATATAGTACATATACAAATATACAAATATAAATAGTACGAGTAGTATTTAGGTATAAACTTTTGCCTTGTTCTCATTGTCTCTTATTTTTCTTGTTCTCCTGGCTTTGGTTTTTACTTTTTACATTTACATTATTTTTATTGCATTAGTATTTTCCTATGAATATCTAATTTTAGTTATGTATATCAAATTAATTAAAATACAATTAGGTTTAACAATGACACAATCACAAATCGTTTTCTTTTTAATTTTCGCGCGAAAGTTAATTAAACTTTTCTGTTTTTTTTCTTCTTTTATTTGTTATGCATTTTTCAATCAAACTTTCTTTTATTTTAATTGGTGGCCTTTTTGTTGAGGTTTTCTAAAGGGCTTGATTTTCTCTATTGTATTCCTTTCCTGGCTATTGCACTCAACTTTGTATATGAGTAAATATGTATGTATGCTAACCTATTACTTTTATTGCGTGGGTATTGAATTCATATGTTTTTGATAAGTGTTTATGTGTGCCCAGCGCTGTGAAATAAAATTTATTGAAATGCGGTTGGCTGAAGATTATCGTTCGATCGCATTTTATTGCGATAGAGGCGTGAGTGTGTTGGTATGTACATATAATAATGTTAGCGGTTGTCATTGGTTCATTGAAATCGTAAAAAAACCTCTAACGTTTTACGGAAAGATAAAAAAAAATCAGTCTCTTTTCAACCGAAATAAATACTTACTTATATACATAATTTTTAGGTTCCAAAAGTATCGTTTTTAGAAAAGCTGTTTAAAATGCAATTTACAAATGTAAAAATAATTACATTTTCCCAAAACAACAAAACGTATTCAAAACTGACGCAATACTTGATTGGGCTTTATGTTACCCATACAAAGTGGGAAATTTGCAACTGATTTTGTTCAAAAATTTTATTTTTTTTGTTTTCACTTTAAATATTTGGAACGGATTTTAGAAAAGATTGTCAAGGCCCGAATTAATAAAACGTGTATTTTTATCGCTATATATTGAAAGTTAAAATTAAAAAAAAAACAAGTAAGAAAGTCTAAGTTCGGGCAGAGCCGAACATTAAATACCCGGCGCACGTATTAAATATATGTTTTTCACCTTACCGAAAGCTACGGCTACATGGTAAGCCGGGGCGTATCAATTTTGAGTAAATTAGAGTCCTTAAATTTCGATTTTGAAGTTTCAAGCAGTTCTGAAATTTACCGTTATATGAGAAGCGGCCGTTATTTTAGTCCGATTTCAATAATTTTCAACGGTTTGCTTATATGTGGCAAGCACAATAACCACACCGAGTTTGGTACAAATTGGTAGAACGGTTACTGAGATACATATATGTGATCATAAGTGGGCGGTGCCACGCCCATTTTCCAAAAATTTATCACAAACGTATTTCTTGGTAAAGAATTGTTGCAAGCATCAATTTTGAANCGTTATGTGAACAAAATTAATATACCCTTGTGCACAAGTGCGCTCGGGTATAAAAAAATCAAATTACATATAAGAGATACATATACCATTTCATTGACAAATTTCAGAATTTAAACGCAGTAAAAAAGTTTTTGAGGTTTCTGAATTCGATTCTGATAGAATAGTGAAAATTCAAATCGGCCGGCCCAATATGGCGTCTGCTAAGCAAGACTCGTCTCTTAGGATCACTGAACACTACTCTGATAAAAGAATCGCGAAATTAAAAATGGCCAATCCAATATGAACGATCCAATATGGCGGCCGCTATCCACAAAGAAAAAGTTAGACCGAACAAACTTTTTTCGAAAATATTTTTTATGTTTTTTTTTTTTTAATTCGGGCACAGATAAATTTTTCGAAAATCCGTTTTTGAAAAAAAAAAAAATTTAATTCGGTAAAAAAGTTACACTTCCAGCCATTTTTGAACCAAATCAGTAGAAAATTTTCTACTGTGCATAGAGTAAAGGCTCTTCCCAACAACAACTACTATACACACATTTTGCTGTTCTAATTTCACAATCTCTCTCGCTCGCACTGCTCAATCGAATATCGCTTTTACGTGTAAATAAAAAAAAATGTATGTCATGCTGCCCTTTGGGTACCGGACTACAAAGCTCATTTAATAGATTCTTTATCTGACAAATCTAGAATTTCACTTTAGAAATTCTCAATTGGCTTAAGTTTTTGAATGATTAGAATAGTAGAACTGTAGAATGTTTTTTATGAATACATAACAATCTGAAGAGAAAATAGCTTCTGGGAACTGATTCCGATACTACATAAGTCCATAGTATTTTCTTATGATGCCACTCATAACTTGATTCAAGAAAATACTTCAATCAGAATTTAAAATGTCCGACCTTTTAATGAAAAATGGCCCTGTTATTCTTGTAAGAGCAAATAAAGGGGATAAAATGGACGGCGAAAAAGTAAGAATATGTTACCTTCCAACGTCTGTTAAGTAACTATGGCTCCCATATATGTATGGCAGAAGATAAAGGCGGCGCTTTCCGTGAACTGTTGACGCAGAAAGTTTCAAGTGAAAATCCACGATAAACCATGCCTTTAAACCAATTTAATTAACGATGGTTGCATAACTTTTACAACCAAAAAGGGCTATTGTATATCACTTTGACACTACATTGCGGGCTAAAAGTTTGGTGGTCTGTTAAATTAACGGTCACTACATACAAAATTAATCCGATTTTCAGGGTTCTATTAAGTAAAAGTGCGACTGTACATTTTAGCGAGTGGCTTTTGTCTGCTCGTCTAAAAGCTTAGAATCCAATAGCAATATGGACGGTTAAAAATCTGGGCGTTGGTTACCGCGCGCCTGAACTGTAAAAAATTTAGTGAACGTGAACACTGGGCATTAAAACAATAATATAAAAGTATGTGTGTGTGTGTGTGTGAACAAGTATTATTGTGCATACATTAGGGTAGTCCTTAAAAGTATCAGCATCTAAATTTTGCATGGGTTCTAAAACCAAAACAAAGACATCCACGATGACTTCAAAATTTTAAAATAATTTTTAGGTGTCGATACCAGGCTTGAAATTTTTTTCAAAATTACAAAAATTCAAAAAAAGTCTTGACTTTGAGTATTTGAATTTTCTTTTCAACTACGTATTTAATGCATTGCTAGTTTAGTTAAAAAAATAAGTCATACTCCGAAAATACACAAAAAAATACCCCGTTATCTTAAAAACCTGCTCATAGAAGAAATTTAAAAAATCCCCTTTGAGGTCAGGAAGTTCATACTAACTTTCCCCTATATATGAGTTACTAGATATTATTTAAGGAAATTACACAGAACTACAAAAAAATCGATGAAGCGTTCTTTTGCCAAAACCAAGTGTTCTTGGGGTCTCTGAAATCGAATCTTAAGTCCGTTTGCTCCATCACGAAAGGTTTTTTTTTTTACCCTTAAAAAACGTGACGAAATCTATGTGAGATTATATAGTTGTTATAAATATTGACGGATTTACTTTAATCTTGATAGTGACGAGTTTTTAGGGTCGCTAATTGCGAATGTGATTTTTAAAATCTAAAATGGCGGATCGAATACGACGGTCGAACATTAAAAAAAGTTATTGAATGCCAAAGGAACCTAAAATCATTAATTTTTGTAACGAATTTAAATAATTGTTGGATATCGGTTTCGGAAATCCGGTTTCAGATTCGTAGTCAGCAACTTATACATATAGGTACTAACTAGGAATGAATTTTGTTTTTTAAAGTTTTCGAACTCATATTCATAATCAGCGACCCAAACAACTTTCTGATACCAATAAAAATTCAATAATTTTTTTGAAAATTCGACCACCAATTTGGACAATTTGGAACAATACCGTATTAGGAGCTTGTTTTGCATGATGCATGCATTTGGCATTGACTAAGAATTTTTAAGAATATTTTTCAACAAAATGTAAAATTTACCAGATTTAAATTTTTTCAAGCCTTGGTAGCGACCCCTAATATAGATATGAGTTGGGTAAGCACTGCGACCAGTAGGTCTGTTGTGCCCTTAGCTTATCACAAGACGTTTACACACTGTTCTAAAAATTTTTAAATTTTCTTTAAATTCTTTATTTGTATATAAACCAAAAGAAAAGAAGTGTCCCACACAAAAACTGAATCTTCATATTTTTAAGAACCAACCTAGTATATACTACATATTGGCATATGTATGTGCAAAAGTAACAACATATTAAAAATTAAATATTTCAATTAACTTTTTGTACAAAAGTACGAGCAAAATACTTACAACAAAATATAACAAAAACATATTTTAATTGTAATCAATAAAAATTTACAGTTACTTTGGTTTTATGTCCTCACACGGCTTATTGCACGGTTATTTTGATATTGAAAAATTGTTTTGTGGTGAATTATGATTTTGTTTTAAGTTAATTTTGGATTATTTTGACATAACAACGAAGTGTTCGCACTTTTTGCTTCTGCTTTTGCTTACCACTTTTTTGTCTACATATTTGTAATTATTGACAGTAACAGTTATTAAATTTAGCTCAATTTTCGGGCAATCGCATCAATTGTGTGTGTGTGTGTGTGTGATTTTTATTTGTGTACATAGTTAATATTTACTCCTAAATTTACATAAATACCTATTTTGTAAATATGTATCATATAATACAAATATATATTTGTGTTCGCATGTAAATATTGAAACATTTGCGCAAAATTATCGAATGTAATTGTTTTTTTTTTTAGATTTTTTTTACCTTCTGCTGTTTTTGCTGCCACCAGTGTTGCATTTATCTATTCAATGAGCTCATGTTCAACACTTTTTTACTTAAAATTTTTCACCATTTGCTCTAATACTTACATAAATGTACATACATATGTGTAAAAAATATGTTCAATATATTCGCTTAAATTTAAAAAATATATATTCACTCACCGCATTTAAATTTAATAATAAGTACAATCAATATCATAACAATAAATGTGCGCGCGTGTGTGTGCATATGTTTTTGTTTTTTTTTTTTGTGTGCGCGTTTTAACTCGTTCACGTTTATGTAACCCAACCACACACATTGCACATATTTATCAACTACATTCATCAATAAAAGAGTAAAATTTACCCCGTCCAATTTAATTAATTTCATTAAATATTTTTTGTTTCCACATTTTTTTTTGCACACATATTTTTTTATGTGCTTTTTCGTTTTGATAAACCTTTGCCTAATTGCAAGTAGCGCTTGCAACTGCATGCGCGTGCGCATCTCTCATTTACATTCACATTCATGTCTTTCGTTTTTTTTTTAAGTCTAGCTAATTAGAGTTTAAAACGCTCAATTAATTTGATAGATTTTTCTATTTTTTTTTTTCTTATAAACTGTCTATGTACATACATTTTTGGTATTTTTCGAGCGCTATATCCTTATTGCCGCATTTCCGCTGTCACTTCTGCTTAGCTGGCTCCTAAATTTTAACATGCCTATATATATTTGCCAAGATCCTCATGAAAATCCTGTAAGTACGCCAGCAATTGGGGGAAAGATGGTCGTTGTTTCGGATCCTCGAGCCAGCAGCAGGACATCACTGTGAAACTGCAAGTGAAAAATTAAAAATGGAAACGATGAAACTAATGTTAATAGCAATATAGCGGTGATACAAAAAAAAGTTATGTGTTTATTCCACGCCGTGAAACTTCTTCTTAATAATGAACAATTACCTTAATTTTAATTGAAGTCACCATCTCTATAATCTTAATTTGAATCTTAATTGTAGTTTGAATCTTAATCTTAATTTTAATCTTAATCTTAGTGTCAACCTCAATCTGAATATTAATTTCAATCTTACTTTTAATCTTAATTATAATCTTAATCTCAATCTCAATCTTAGTTTAAACCTCAAATTTAATCTTAAAGCATAGACAGACGGCAGCGTTGATCCGGATTAACGCCGCAATTGATCTGAGCAAAATTGTGCCTTGACAGAAGGCAGTAATGCGGATTTATGAGCCGCGAAGTCGTAGGTTCGAGTCCTACGGACAGTAGAATATGTATTTATTTATTTTTTGTTTCATTCAATCATAACTTCTGTTTTTTATTAAGTTGTTTTTGACTTTTTAGTAAAATGAGATTCTAAAAATTTAATTCAACTAATAATAAAAAATTGTGAAATAAAATAAAGCCAGCAGGCTTGTAGTACGCAGCCTTCACCACTCGGCTACCACGGATGAAGTGGCTGGCTGGGTTGTTTGCTCAGAGAGCGTAGAACACAAAGAAAATTCAAAACTAGCATGGACATCCACCTTGACGTCGGTAATGCAGTCACCGTATTAATTCAAATAAGTTCTTATTAAATTTTAATTGGATTCCTATGGAAAAGGTATGTATATTTCCATGCTAGTTTTGTACTTTCTCTGTACTTTTATGCTCTCTGAGTTTTCGTCAGTGTTGTCATCTAAAATTCCCTTGATCCGAATTATGTTTGGGAATTAACTCTAGGACTTAATCCGGATCAACTGCAGTTGATTCTCGAGATAATTACGAATTAACGAGTTGATCCGGATGAACGCTGCCGTCTATTTAAGCTTTTAATCTTCCTGCTAATCTTAGTCACGATCTCAATCTATCTCAACTTTAATCGTGTCCAACCACCCCAGCATGCCTTCTTTTTTCGCTTTTTCGTTTCAATTCAGCTTGAAATTAGACCCCAATTCACTTAAAAAAAAATAATAATAATAACTTCGAGGAATGGTTACGGACTCTGTTGCAGAGTGATTCGGGGGTAATTTAACCCTTCCTTCAACAAAAATAACACGTATTTCCTTGATAGTGTCAAAAATTATACTTTTAAATAATAGCCCTTTAATTTTCTACTAAAAGAATCAAGTGCGTAAGCCGCGAATTAATTTTCCCATTCTGAGAAAATATTACAACTGGTTGCATTAAGTTTTCTAATAATTTTTTCAATAGATCTTTACATATCGGGTGTTAAAATAGTATCCGATCGCCCTCTATCTCAGAAAGTAGTCATTGGAGAACAAAGGACGAGGGCAAGGTTCTAGGATTCCGTGCTCGTAATCTCATAGTGTGCTATGATTTCACCTTGACATTGAACGTCGTTTCAAGGTGAAGTCGCTTTTTTACAAATGCAAACGCCAAATTTGTATTGCGGATTCGAAAAGAGACGAAAATGTTACGTCCAAATATGTCAAGACCAGGACAGAAGGACATTTCAAGTTCAAATAAATTTGTTTCCATATTCCCTATTTTCATGGAAATTTCTTTATCCCTCAAACATTTGGAATAAGAACAACATTCTAAAATTATGGCCTACATTACTCTAAGGGCCGTTTTCATCAAGTCTGGGTAAGACTAATCCCCGGTTAGACATCGTCATCAACGTCATATCAATATAACATTGAGTCGGTAACATCGATAATGATGTTGAACTGGGGATTAGTGTTAACCAGACACGGTGGAAAGGGCTTTAACCCAATCTCTTAGGCTTGTCTTTTAAATAAACCATACCCCATCTTTAGCATGCAGTACTTACAATTCATCGGGACAGTTGATGGGTTGACCCAGACGAAAACCATCCGAGAGGTATGCACTCAACTCAAAAATGTCCACCTCCTCAAAAGGTGTAAGCGCCAGTGTTGCCAACTCCCAGAAGAGTACACCCAAAGTCCAAATGTCACTATAAGTGTTGAAGTACTTCTTCTGTAATGATTCCAAAGCCATCCACTTGAGCGGACGATTTTCGTTGTCACCCAGGCAGTGATAGTCGTCAGGAAAGAGATCGCGCGACAGAGCGCTATCACAAATTTTCACATAGCAGTCCATATCCAGACTAGAAGCAATAAACAAACGAAATGAAGTTTGATGAGTGAAAAAGCACTTCTTATAAATGAGAGTTCCAAAGGAAATGCGCAAAGGCTAAATAAATACTCACTAGCAATTTCGCGTTGCAACATCGCGATGAATAATACCCATCGAGTGCAGATGCGCCAAACCTTTAGTCACATGCAAACCGAACTCGACTAGTTGGCGGGTGCTAAGCGGCGAATTGAGTTCACGCGATTTCTGCAAGTATCTGCAAAAAGAAGAAAACAAAGTTAGCATTGTGAGATAATAACGCAAGCGCAGCAGCCGCTCTACTCACATTTTCAGATTGCCCTTGGACGGATAGGGATATGCAATCTCAGGTGGTCCTGGCAGCTCGGTGTTCGCCAGCAAAGGCGTCAATATGTTCGGATGACACACGCCAATAAGCGTCGAGGCCTCCTGCAACAGACATGCAACTTGCGTCAGCGAGGCACCATCGACGACTGTTTTGATAATCACATCGCAGGCATCACCTAAATTGCCGGCATAGATGCGTCCATAGGTGCCTTCCTTGATTAGATGCTGGCACATAAGTGTACCCGGTTGTACATTAGGAATGCGACGGAGTTTCTCCTTGGGATCACTACCACTGCCAGCAGAGGAGCTAGCGCCGCCAAAGACGCTGCCATTGCCGCCGCCGCCGCCGCCGCCGCCGCGACTGCTCTTCGGTGTGGACATGCTGTAGACCTGGAATGCGAGAAATGGAGTGCCGAGCTTAAGTGAGGGGAAAGAAAAACAAAGAAAATTATGTGTGTGAGGGTCGTAAATATAGTATACGAGTCTGTATGTGTGTGTGTGTGTGTGTGTGTGTGTGTGTATGATGACCGCAGGCATTATTCATCATGACAAGCGGATTTCATGCGGATGTGCCGATAGTTAGGAGTAGATAATCAATTTGTTGCAGTTGTGGAGTAGTGTGGGCGTTCACCTACACACGTATGTGAGCTGGTCGTCAGTATGCACGTATCTGTGTGTTGTTTGCGGAACACTTGGAAAAGTTGCAATGTGGCTTTGTGTATTTAATATCCAAGTTAATGAACTTGTACTTCAAACAGGCATGGCGCTTTCGTCTAAGCCACCGGATAAACAAATGTCCCACGTCATTATCAGCAGTAAATTGTGTCGGACTGTGTGGCAGAAACACATCAAACACAGTGCGGTTACGCCTATATAAACAATCGATTGTGGTAGACATACGGCCATGTGGAAACGTACATAAATACATATGTAGATACTAGAGATGGGCGCGGGCCTAAATATTCATACCCGATCCCGCCAATCCCGAAATTAAATTTTTAAGTCCCGAACCCGCCCATTCCGACGTTTTTCAGAATTGTACCGCGGGTCCCGCGAGTCCCGAAATCCATAACTAAGATTAAGTTACATGTCACAAAATAATTTTAAATATTAAAAAAAAAAGTAATGAAAGATTTGGCATTTTCGGATATTTTTTCGCTTTGCTGTTCGTTTTCGTCTCAATAAAACATAAAAAGTGCATATTTAATAAAACCTTTTTAAAAAAAATTTCTAAATTTTGGCGGTTGCAAAATGTTTAAACACCTTCAGGATACCGCCCATTCCGGCCATTTTGAAATCAGTCCCTTGGGACCCGATATCCCGTGCCCATCTTTGGTACATACATACATATTTATATGTACAAACCCAGCAGGAGAAATAACTAACAAGAAGTTCTTCCAAAATGGAAAAATTTACGCCAAATAGCCTCATCGGTCGGCGTGATTAAAAATTGGCTAAATAGCTTCGGACTCGAGCTAGCCGAGTAAAACACAGAAGCAATACTCATATCGAGTCGTAAGAAGTTAGAGATGGTAGCGCTTAAAATTTGTGATGACATCAACTTGAGGAAAGCCACATTTAAATACTTAGGAGTGGTATTAGACATGCGTCTTACTTTCAGCGCTCACTTGAGCTGTGTGAGAGAGAAAGCAGCTTCAACCATCAGCGAGTAATGCTTAACACGCGAGAGCCGAAACAGTCCAGGCGTCTATTCTTAGTGAATGTTTTTAAAAGTCCCGATTGGGTCAAATGCGGCACAGTGTCGAGCATAATTCCGCGGAGTCAACCCAAAATACCGTTTGTGTGCGCCCCGAGTTTATAGCGCCTTCAGAATAGTGTCGGACGAAGCAGCTTTCGTAATCGCCAGTATGATACCAGTACGTATACTGGCGAGAGAATCGACGCTCCTGGTATCCGCCACGCATGCTCTAACTCAAATAGACTGAGTCGAACGCGGGAAAGCAGCATTATGTAGTGACAAAACCTAGGCCTTTTCTGTAAGCCCGCTGAATGCAATACTAGCCAAAAATGCAGCTTACTATTTAGAAGAACTAATTTATAAGTTATATTTGTACCTGCAGTGTACCCAATGTAATCTAAACTAGTCAAAAGATTCTAAGTGATAAATAAATAGTTAAAAAATGTTATTCACTTTAAACAAGACGTAGAGAAACCTACTCGGTGTAGCCCGGGACTTAGTACAACCGACTGGAATGAACGTGCGAGCCTGATGCTCAAACCGTCCCCGACGAAATACTTGATGGCGGTAACAAGGGATTGCTACTTGAACAGTAGGAAGTTTAGTTAGGGTTAAGGTTCCTCACTGACGGGTATAGGTTTACCATGCTTCTTCCTCAGAAAAAGAAAAATGTGTACGTACATACAGAGAGATAAGTGTACATGTCTGATCGTATATCGACGGTACTTTGGCTAAACCTCATATCTCAGAAATCACTACTACTTCGTATCTCGTAAAATTAATTCAAAATAAGACTGAGAATGCTATAATTAATTATATATTGTTCATAACTAACTAAAAAGTACTTAATCTTTAATATTAAGTAAAAAAGTTATTAAAAATGATTTTATGTTTTTAATAGAGAGTGTTCTTTGAGAGAGTTTTGAGATACAAGGTTTTGCCAAAATACCGTCGATGTGTGAAAATATTTGCCCGGTTTTTATGAAACATAGTTTCACAATCTCATAGACTAACAGTCAATTTCAAAAAAAATAAAGAAGGCTTTAACTGGTCAGACCGATTCTCCTTTACTGAATGCCTTAGACAAGGCCCCTAATCTTAATATACTCAGAAAAGTGCAGATGATTAGTATGTTCTGCATCAGCGGATCAGTCCGGTCGACGCCAAATGATGCTTTAAATGTCTTTTTGGATGATCTGCCACTAGACCTTGTGGGTCAGCAGATGACATCTCTTTCTGCAGTTCGATTAAGAGACACAGAGCAATGGGAATCGGGATTGCTGGGCCATTCCTGCGTTCTGGAAAAATGTAGCATTTTTCAGGGTTATACAGACCGTTGTGTTGAAACTCCGGTTCCGGATAAAAACTTCGTCATGAAAATCCCAAGCAAGTAGGAAAACTCGTGGTCTATGTGTTTAACTGCTTTATGAATCGAATATTTGTATGAAAATGTCACTTTGTAGAGCTCTTTAAATCTACATATTCTATTTTTTATGAATGAGGCCATATGAAACTATCTTGACATTAAAACCGACCTTCAAAATAAAAATTTTTGTCGAACGAGCCTATTTTTTTCCTCAACTCTCCATCACATAAAAAATCAATACATTTATTTAGCCTAGCCGTTCTCTCTCTGGCTATTGACATATTTGATTTGTCACAACACAAGTAAACTTTCTGTGGGGGCTGTGGGGCGTCTGCATTTTTGCCATTTTTAGGTAATGACTTTTAGTCGCGAAGTTTGTGATTGGAAAACTTTAACAATTCTATGAAATGAATTTAATTAAAGCTGGAGTGTAAATACATTTCAAAGTCAAAGGAAATTTAATAAATCCGCTACAGGCCAACGAACTAAAGTAGTAAAATAAATATTTCCTTAAAATTTTGATTTACATACTTTCCTAGTTTAATTCAAATTACCATGTAATTCAAAGCAGCTGTCAGTTATTCGTTTTTGTTTTTTTTTTTTGCTGTAAGGCAAGTTAAGCTCTTGCTGCTGCCATGTTTGTGCGCGTCAAATAACAAAAGCCCTTAATGGTAAATTTATTAGCAGCAAAGCAAAAATGACAATAGACGATTTGCTGATGGCTGCCAGCGAGATGGGGAATGCTGCCAGTTGCTGCAAGCTATTAACGGTATTTTAATTTCCCCAAATAACACGAATTTTCTTTAGCTTTTTCTTACACTGGCACTACTGGCACTGTGATTGTGATTTTTTCAATTAATGCGGTTGAGCTTAAGTATTTTTATATGTATTTGTATGTATAAAAAAGTTTTCAGATTAAGTTTTCTTTCTCGTGGCTTGACAAATGTTATTGTTTATTTTATTTTTGTTGCTATTGTTGCAGGTATTAAGAGAGCTTTGCATCACTAAATAGAGTTGTCATTTGTAGAGGCCAGACTACGAACCAAAGCTCCAAATGTGTATGATAGGCCTCCAAGGCCAAAGCAACCAAAAAAAAATAATAAAATAAAATAAAAGCCACCAACAGCCAATAAAGAAAACCAATGCGGCTCTTATCTGGTTGTGGTCACCACCGATGCTTTTGTGCGTTTGCTTTTGTGGCTTAGCAGCGGACAGGGTTATTTAAGCAGCTGTAAGGAGAACTGCATACGTATTGCCTATGGCCAACGCCGCAATTTGCCAGTTTTTGGTTGGGCTCACAAATGCCGTAAATCTTCATCAAGTGAAAATTACGTAATTTCCCAACCGCCAAACGTCGAAGCCGCAAGCAACAATTGCCACGATTTTGGCTTACCTACCACTGCTGCCACTAACGTTTTCATAGCGATGCTGGCCCTTCGTTGCTTTTTGTGAAGCTTACCGCACGCGAACTGTGCGTGGGGTTAGCTATAAATGTTTTGGAAATGTGGCAAAAAGCAATTTTCGTAAAACAATGCGAACGTAACAAAACAAACAAGAAATCAATGAAAAATAAGAAAAACAAAAACAATGAACTAGAGTGACAAAAGCAGTGAGGTCCAGCAGTGGAATGACGTATATGGTTTAATTGCATTCAGGCGTCTTTTGTTAATGAATATGTATGTATGTATGCAAAAAAAAAAAAACTACGAAAAAACCCAACTATAGAAATTAACAGTACGAGCAGCAATTAAAAAAAAAAGCAAACATTTCCGAAATGGCAATACTGTCCGGCAAGATAATAGCTACAAAGCAGCAGACGACAATAATCTCGCCGCCCTCAGCTTCAGTCACAACGCAACAGTCAGCCACAAAAAAAAAAAAAAAATAATAAAAATTAACCAGCCGCCTTTGACAGCAATTTCATTTATTAAAGTGAACAAAAACACAATATGAGGAAAATTCATTTGCGTTCGACCGCAAATTGTCGTTGATGTGGCAATGGTTGAAGTGGGCTTAAACATTGACAATGTAGGAGCCGCCCCAAAATGGTCGGCAGTCAAAACAATTGCCTTTTGCCAGGCTGCGATTATGTATTGTGGATAATATTGTAGGGCATGTATAGGTATGAGGACAAAAAAAAAATCAGCATTTTTCGAGAGTGTCAAAAAGTTACTGTTACAAGGATAATAATATGACGCTATAATATATATACATATAAACTAATAAAAAAGAACGATATCAGTCCAGTCATAAAAGCGTAAAGAGCTGAACGAGCAACACGTTGCGGCACATTGCTGAATTTCTACATGGCAACGGTTGAAATGGCTAGCAAGTTTAAAGTTTGACAGGTAA